CAGTAACCTCAAGCATTCAGGACGTGTGGCCAAGAGGATCAGAAGTTCAAGATCATCCTCAGTGACCTCAAGAGTTCAAGGTCAGGCTGGGTGACAGAGAGGGAGAAACACTGGCCATGGTGGCACACGCCTATTATCCCAGCAGGAAGGCTGCTGAAGCCAATCTGGGCTATATAAAACACCCTGAACAAAATACAATGACATGTGTTTATGAAAATGTCATAACGAGACACATTACTTTGTATGATAAATAAATTAATGAAATTAATTGTTCGTTGAATGAAAAGAGAGACAAACAAATTAAGAGTTACTAACATTAATACCTAAAACAGGACCAGAGCTCTGCCTGCCAAGAATTAAAGGGCACAGGCTTTCATCTGTGAGTCATAGAGAACACACTTTCATGCCTAACACTGAGAAAATAACAAATTAACCCTCTTTTACGTTTGTTCCAATGAAAAGGAGACCTGCTTCCAAACCTGGTTAGCCTGCTAGGCTATGGCTACTGGCTTGAATGTGAGTCCTCCAGATGAATATAAACACAAAAGCTGGAAAATTCTTGAAGTATAGACTGATGATGGTATACATAAATTATTCATACATCAAATATATATGTTGATACGAGAGTTCCCAAAAAAAGAAGTGTTCAACCAATACGAATGGATGCATGATCCGGGCCATTTAAAGGGACCAGCCCCTGCAATATGGCCTCTGCAGTGTCGTCATCGATAGGTGCTGGTCAGGGATACGGGCATCTAGGTTTTGTCTTGGAATCTGAAAAGAGTTAGCTGCTCAAAGATAGGAGAGAGATGCAGCAGAAGGCACAGCCTCCACCCAAGTCTTCCGGGCCAGGTGCATCTCTCCTGATCTCGGGCAATCCTGAAGATGAGCATTCCCACTGACAATGAGCTCAGAACAGAGACAAGCCTTCCTGCCAAGCAGAGACAGCCAGTGCCCACTTCAGCCAAGCTCTGGCACCTGCAGGACACTCCCTCCTCACTACCACCAAGGGAGAGAAGAAGAGTTGCTGTGATATGTTGCTGCTGGAGACACACTGTTTCCAACAGAAGGTCTGGAATTAGTGGGCTGAACCCCTGTTAGGCCATCAGCAAGGTTACAAGGCCAGAATGCTTGATGCTTAGAAGAGTCTGGATCTGGAGGTCCCTAAACCCTGGGTAAGAAGGCACACATGAGTCTTCTTGTCTGACATGCCTATATCAGAGGCCTGGGAATGAGAGGTAGACATTCCCTCTCTGTACACACGGGACAGTAGCCTGGAGGTCTAAGTTCAAATCCCAACCACATTTCTTTATGTGTGCATGTAAGTATGCACATATACTCTCACACTTGGACATGTGGGTACATGTGTGCACATGGACATTGTACGTGTGTGTGAAGGACAGAGATGAGCCCAGATGTCATTTCTCAGCTTTTTATTAGATGAGGCCTCTCACTGGCCTGGAATTCATCACATAGGCTGGGCTGGCTGGCCAGTGAGTCCCAGGAATTCTCTCCCAGCACTGGGATTTAGGGGAGCTACACCATGCCTGGGTTTATTTTACACAGGTTCTGGGAATTGAACTCAGATCCTCTTGCTTGCACTACCAGCAATTTACTAAGTGAGCTATCTCCTCAGCTCCCAGATACAACTCTTAAAAGCTTGGGGACTTGGGAGAGGTCAGCAATTTCTCCAGCTTTTAAACAGACAAAAATAGTCCCTTGTGTGTTTGTTGGCCATGAGTGTATGATACTCCTATCCCAGGAATACAACTAGGAAAGAAATTAATAAACTGCAAGGATGAGTGTTTGGGGAGGAGGCTTCTTGTATCCCATAAGCACCCCAAATCTGATGGCTTCATAAAGGTTGCTTGAGTGGAGTCCTGGTCTCCCATCCAAGCCTGTCCCCTACGCAAAGTTCCCACAAGCATGGTCCTTAGCTGGCCTGAGGAGCCAGCCAGGGACCAGGGAGTGGCAGGCTGCTGGCCAACTTCTGTTAACTGAACCTCTCAAAGCTGCCTCATCAATCCATCATGCTCCTAGCAGTTGACACCTCTGGCACAGGCTCCAGCAGCCCCAGCATTAGAATTATGAGAAGCCCAGTTACGAAGGCGAAGACAGATGGAGAAATCTCAGCTTCGTATGTAAGTGCTGTGAATAGTCGGACTCAGGCAAGGCATCTCCCCTGCCCTTCTGACAAGGGGGCGAGGTTTTGTTAGAAGTACAAATTGCTTCTTAAAGCAGAGACTAGAGCTAGTTCGGGGCTCCTCCTTAGCAATTCCTCCCAGGTCTCAGGGAAGCCACCGCTGCATGTCAATTTTAATTTTTGAAATTTAAACTGAGGGCTTTGTGTCTAAGCTCCATCTCATCAGAGGAAGGGGAGGAATAAGTCAAAAAGGATTAGGGGCCCGATGGGGATTGCAGATCCATAGCAATTAGACTTCATCTGGGTTGCAGACATTGGGTTTTAATCGCATTTCAGGATGATACAATCAACAAGGCATCCGAAAGTGATACCCGTCGTGTAACCATAGACAGTTCCTGGGTGTAGGTAGGCTCAGCCAGGCTTGGGGTCCACCCTCAGAGGGGGTAGTAGCACAGCATGTGGTAGGAAATAGGGTTCTGTTTGCGTATGGAGCTGGGAAGTGATAGTTTGATAGTATTTCTTTTCTCTCTAGCTGTGTATGCACTTTATTCTTGGTCTCAATGCAGGCATAATCATTGCTTATATTCAAACGAACGACTAGAAAACATTATTCCAATAAAATGAAAGCACAGAGGAATGGTGGCAGCCACGGGATTCAAGGCAGGGGGTACGATCGTCTTGTAAAAGGGACTGGCAGCTTTCATCGCCTCCCGAACAATGCCATTTGAGGGTAGACTGCCACCAAGAATGTTTCATACACCACATTGGCAGGAATGCGTGCCACTGTGCAACATGAATTGAATGAGAACAATTATACCTACACTATCGATTTTCAAGTGTCCAGCTTTACCTAGATACACACACTCCACACACTCTGTAGATATGCGCGCACGCACACACACACACACACACACACACATTTCTTTAAGCATTTGGGGGGTGGTGTGTGTATGTGTGTGGGCGTTCCTGCCACAGTGAAGATTTGGGGGTCAGAGGACAACCTGTGAGAGCTGGCTCTCTCCTTACACCATGCGGGCTTTGGGCATTGAACTCAGGACCTTAGGCTTGGTGGCAAGTGCCTTAACCCACTGAGCCATCTCATAGTCCCACAAACACATTTGGCTCAGTGCAGCCAGGGCAATATGCTGGCACATACCTATCATCCCAGCACTCAGGAAGCTGAGACAGGAGAATGGCCAGTTCCAGACCAGCCTAAGCTACACAGTGAGAATCTGTCCGGATTTTTTTTTTTCACTTAATTTAAATCTGAAACATTAAAAGAGCTCAGTAAGCGACAGCAGGCAGCTACTGGCTCTTTTAGATGTAACGTAATATCTGTTGTAACTGGGTGTCCATAAAATAAGAAATAAAACAAGCAAGAAGGAAGAAGGAAAAAAACCCAATGTCCGACAGTGTGGAATGTTCTCCTGACTTAGGATACCAACGGGAAGAGAGACAGAGCCAACAGGTCCCCAGCTGCTGTGTCACCTCTTTCGGGGAAGGAATGACCCCCTAAAGCATCTCTCCTTCCTGGAGGGGGTGTCACCTCCCTCCCCCACAATGATCCCACTGAACTTAGAGATGATGCACACAACTACCTCAGTTACTGACTCCTCAGAGAGCAAGGACCCAGCTGTGGTGTGAGATACGCCACCAGCCCCCCACCACCACACACACACACACACACACACACACACACACACACATACACACACACCTGCACCTGTGTGCACACGTGTGTGAGCACTCGTGCGCGGGGACACATGCACACACACACACACACACACCACCCCACCACCCCACCCCTGCACACACACAGAATGCTGTTGTCTCTTGGGGAGTGAGAACTTCCAGGGGGAGGGTGTGCTGCTTTCTGCTCTTCTGTTTCAGAGCCCCCAAACTCACAGGGTTCCCACTGGCCAGTGTCTCATAACTGTCTCCCACTTCACAGGGACCCTCCTTTCTGATCTCCTCCCTCAGGTCCAGGGAGATCTAGTTGCACTAACTGTACACCATCTTCTCTCTCCTTCCTCCCTCTAACTCACCTCTCATCCTTCCATTCCACCCCTCTCAACTCAGGGCTGCAGGGTGGGATGCGGCTCTGGTACACACACACACACACACACACACACACACACACACACACACACCTTTCACTTTCAGCCAATCTCTGGTTGTAGGGTTTGCTGCTCTGGCTGGAGATAGGGCATTGGCCGAGGGCGATTTCTGGAGTCCAGGTAAAGGAGCTGAATTAACAAAAGGGAACAGGAGCCGATGCTCTAAAAACATAATTTAATGCATGGCCGAGGAAGTCCGAGGAGAGTATGTGTGGCAAGGTGAATATTCTGTTTGTTGGAATTCTGCTAAGGGGGGAGTTTTGGCTGATGGACAGGACAATCTGGACAGGCATTCCGGGTCACAAAAAGGGGGTTCCCAGGGAGTAGCATTCACCTGGGTCTTATCTACCTGGTGAGGCCTGCAGCCCTTGACCTGGGGACGCTGGAAGGGAGAAGTGAGCTGGTAAAAAGGCAGGCTCCTTAGGGCTGCCTGTCCAGTCCAACCAGCTTTCCCAAGTCTGGGCTGCCCCACAACCAATCCCCTCCCCCTTCCCTGCCAGAGCTGAGATTCTCACCCAACTCCCCTCTTCAGTGCTCCCTCTCCCTCCCCGGGATGGGCACTGGGACCAGGGACACAGCCTCCCCACAGCATGGGGAATCAGACACACTGAGGCCAGAGGCAGGACAAGAGGACAGCAGGGATGTGTCTTTTCCAAAGGAGATGTCAGGAAGTGTCATGAAGCGGCAGAGAGCGTGACATTCACAGAAGAGCTGCGGCAGGGCGAGAACCCCGTGGGCATGGGGCGCCTGAAGCCGCGCTGTCTCGTGCTCTCTGTGACCCTAATCCGGGTACAGGAGAAAGCCCGAGAACGTGCTGTACTTGTTGTTATTGCCCCCATGAGCCTTCCCGCCGTCCAACTTCACATAGACTTCATCGCCTGAATCCAGGTGCAGTACCACGCTGTTGCTGGCGTAGTCGTAATTCTGGTCCGCATCCTGGGCTATGGCGCTGGCGCGCACCTGCGGGGCGAACCACAGGCATGAGTGGACCCTTGCACCTCTTCTGGAGTAAACTCCTGGCCTCCCTTGCAGACTTGCTGTCTGCTACTCCCTCCCCCCAGCTCCAAGTTCTCTCTGCAGCAGAGTCAAAGAAAGGAGAGGGCTTGGGGACACTGGCCCAGTGTGGAAAGGAGGTCCCAGGGGTTAAGGCCACGATGAAGAAAGCTAGAGGGAAAGGGGGGGTGACCCACGTGCAAGCACGGAGAAAAAGAAAACTGCCTTGTTTTAGGAGCCTGGTCACTTCAGGCCGGGACTCAAGCTATTGGGACCTAGAACCTAGTTTCGATGTCAGGGTCACTGTGTACCCGGGGTCCAGCTTGAGGCGTGCGGCATTTCTGCAAGCATGGAGCGCTGTGCAGAGAAGAGGGATGCTGTGTTCCAGTGACCACTCCGTCCCAGAGTTTGCTGGGGCTCTGGAGGGTGGGATAATTCCCGGCAATCCCGGGCGCCCCTTTGGTCTGTTGGGCCCTGATAAAGAAGGGAGGGGTATGTGGGCGAAAGTCACTGACCTGCCCGTTTTTGCAGAGATCCGCCCACATGCTGGTTCCGTCGCCGCCACGCATGAGGATGTGGTAAGTGAAGAAATAAATGCCCCGCACCTGGCAGCTGAACTTGCCGGTGGTGGGATCGTAGTGATTGCCAAGATTGGTGACCACGTCGTCGAACTTGAGCACCTCGTAGCCTTCATGAGGGCTCTTGAGTCCCACGTAGAAGGCGATCTTGGGACCGCTGAAGGCAGCGCTCAGCGCACTGGTCACTTCGCCCTCCGTGTCGCCACCGCCCCCGGCTCCACCACCCACCATTCCAACTCCACCGGCCGCGCTGGTTGTCAACTGCAGTCCGGGTAGCCCTGGCCTCCCCGAGTCTCCCTTCTCCCCCGGAGGACCCCTGGGCCCAGGCGGCCCTGGCTCTCCAGGGGGACCCCGAGGCCCCGGCTTGCCTGGTCGCCCTGGATCACCCTTTGGTCCCTGGATAAAGGGAGGCGGGGGGTTGGCGCTGAGGTCCTGCATAACTTCCAGGGCAGCGGTGCTGGGTCCCGGCGGTGGAGCCTTGGCGCCCGCGGGTCCCCCTGCGGGCGCAACGCTGTACGGGTCACAGATCATGCGGCAGGTGCCCAGCATCTCGTAGTGAGCCGCGCCGGGGGGAGCCGCCTGCAGAAGCAGGGGCACCGCTATCAGCAACCCCAGTGCCATGGCTAGGAGCACGCCGACGGCCGCCAAGCAGGCGCGCCGCCGCCGCTGCCACAGCCGGGAGGCGACCGCCACCAGCTCCTCCTTGCCGCCCGGGGAGGTAATGGTGGAGCGGCGCGGGTGGCCCCGCTCTACGCGCTCGGACGCCAACTCCGCAGGTCCCTGCCGCGTCCCCGACGTGGAGACCCCTGTCCTGGCTACCCAACTGTTTCAACGGGAGGTATCCGGACCTGGGATCCGGTGGCCACCGCGCTGGAACTGATCTGGAGTGTCGAAGAGTCTGACACGCATGGCGAGGGGCGCACAGGACGAGCCCGGCGCCCCGGCGGGTACCAAGTGTCAGTGGCTGGGAATGCTTGGTCCGGTGAGGCGTCCGGTGTTGGCTCACGGCGCTGGCTCCTGCTCTGCTGGGATTGGCGGGTCTTGGCAGGGTTGAACGGGACTCTGGAACGGCTCTGCCTGTGCCGCACGCTCTGCTCTGCTCTCCCGCTGCTCGCTGCCTCCCGGGTGGAGGGGGGACCCAGCTACCCTGACGTAAGAAGATCAGGACGGAGCGGCGGAGGCGGCGAGGCAGCGGCGTGCGCTGCCATCACTCGGGAGACGGCGCCCTCCTGTCATCAGCTCCCATCCCGCGGCGTCCTCCGGAGATGTGCCTGCTGGCGGCGCCCAGGAGCCACAAGTGGGAGCCGCGGGCCGCAGCCCCCCGCTGGGGCGCCACACAGACACCCATCCTCGCCCACACGCCCCTTCCGCAGATCACCACGCACTGGCACCCACGCGCGCAGTCAGTGGGTACATACAGCACCTCCCACACAATGCTACTATGGTGCTCAGAATCGTGGTGCCTGCAAGGTCCTGTTGGGGTCAACAAATCCATTCTCTGCCTATATCGGCCCAAATCAGGACAGCTTCCCCCTCTAGCTCTGCGGGAAGGACGCTCTAGGAGCCTCGAGAGTAACCAGATTTTAATCAGTCTTGCTTCTGGGTGATCTTTCCTAAGACCAGGACTTCAAATTGTGAAATAGGCCTCTCCAGCGAACCTCCACTAACTTTTGGAAGGACTCTTTAAAAAAAAATTTACTTAACTTTTATTTTAAGTGCATTTGTATCAGATGCCCTGGAACTGGAGTTACAGATAGTTGTGAGCTGCCATGCAGATGCTGGGAATTGAACCCAGGTCCTCTGTGAGAGCAGCCAGTACTCTTAACTGCTGATCCATCTCTCCAGCCCTGGAAGAACTCATTAAAAAATAAAAATCGTGTGTGTGTGTGTGTCAGAGGATAACTAGTAGGATTAGGTAATCTCTGTCCACAATGTGAGTTGGTCCAGGGATTAAACTTGGGCTTAACAGCAAGTACCCTTACAAGCTGAGCCATCCTGGCTTCCAGGAAGATTGCTAGAAAGCCCAAAACCGCCAGTGCAGAATCTATTCGGTATAGACACTTTGTTCCACAGGCCAATGGCTATTGCTCATCTCCCTTAGAAAATCCACTTGAAAACAAACGTGCTCACATTTGTATATTGCAGCTTTTTGTTTTCCCCATTTTCCTTTTCAAAACAACTTTAAAAATAAAAAGAGGAACTAAGGGGGAGCAGAGAACAAAAATAATAATCACAGTAGGGCCTTTGGGAAGACAGGGTATCAGCAGTGGTGTTAAACCTGGGTTTCTTAAAGTCAGACTTCTCTTCCTTCTCCTTCTCCTCTTCCTCCTTCTCTCCCCTCCCCCTTTTCTCCTTCCCATTACCCCCTTCCCCATTGTTATCCTTTTGCCATTACTCATTTTCTTCTTTAAACTTGGATTCTTTTGTAAAGTATCATACAAAGTATTAAATGGCATTGTGGCATTGTTAAACCCTGTGTGTTCTAGTAGATTCCCTCCCTTCCCTTCACTGTGCACCCTGAGGGCACTGGGGGGGGGCACACCAGACAGGCGTGTGAGCTCATCTCCCAGAATGCCTCAGCCTACTCTTCTGAACCCAAATGCATGTGTGCTTTTCCTCTGAGCCTAAGTCTTTAAGCACCTGGGCACAGATTAAAGGGTGGTTGTCTATTCCCGTCTACTGCAGCAAGATGGATAAAAGCGGGAAAGGAGCCCCTCCTGTGTGTAGGGAAGCCCCCTACGTCAGGGGGGAAAGCCCCTAGTCCGGGTATGCTGGAAGCACTGGATTCGATCCATCCCCAGCACAGATGAATGGCCCCTCAGCTCTTGTTTCTCGCTTTCCAAACCTCCAGAACAGGGTCCACCTTCTAAGCAGTGCTCTAAAGAGAATGAGTGTTTATTGGATGCTCTTGAGGATCAGTCTACCCGTTTTATCACTCTGGTCACTTATGCTCGCTCCTCTCCTCTGGCTGCTGTGGTTTATGACATAGGTCTCATTGTTATTCCTGCAAAGAACTTTCCCGGCTCAGCCTGGACCAGCCTCACCTGGGACAGAGATACCCATCACCCCTTGGCTGCTTCGCGAGTGCTGTTTCCTTCCCTAACAGCACTCTTGTGTGTTTATGTTCACTCTCCGCCTATACAGATGAGGAAACAAAGGCTTTGGAGCTACATGGAGCTTTCCCCGGGTCCAGGAATGTGCAGAACTGGGGTCTTCCTCCACCTAGACCAGAGTCTCTCAAAACATGCGGCTCTGGGCCATAATCTTCAATGGCTTTTCTGTATTTACAGATCTCTCCCCCCTCTGCCCAGAGTGACCCTAGAATGAGGAATTCTGGGAAGCACAGTGTTGGGTTCCAGAACTGTCCCTGCAGCCTGCGTGACCTTGAGCAAAGTGCTTCAGCTCTCAGCCTCTGTCCCCACATGCACAGAGTAGGAATAGAGCAAGTATCCCCGTTGGAGCTCTACGTGCACTGGTGTAAATGCTAACACTAGCATAAGGCGAGCCACCATCGCCACCCATGGCATTCTCCCCTCTGCTGTTGGTGGGACAACTGGGGCGATGTTTGTGCGTACCAAGCAAGGTGGAATAGATGGGTTTATGGTTAACCCAAAAGATCCAAACATCGCAAGCACCCTGTAACCTCCTCCAAAGCAGAGAATGTGAGCCCTGCCCACCCTGTAGCTTCCGGCCACAAACCATAGACAAAGCAGCCTTTCCCAGCCTCCGCTTTGCTGGGAACCCTTTTGATTTGCAAGGGGTGCAGGCTTCCTCCTCCGAGTGTCCACTAGGTGGCGGGTTGAGCAGCAACAGACCTAGCCGGTGACTGGTCCTGCTGCGTTCCATCCCCCCCAGAAGCAAGGCCTGGAAGCAGGGTAAGTAGCCTTTGGAGAGCTCCTTGTCACCAGGGATTCTGATTCTCCTAAGGGGTCTGTGTCATCCTCAGCGAGTGTCCTCTCGTGAATATTAAGTATGCGCTCGATTAAAATATGTAGGCACAATTTTAAATTGCAAGGCCGGGTTTGGACTCAAATCTAGAGTCTGGGATTTCAACTCAGCTAGTGGAGTGTTGTCAAGGAGGGGCAACTAGAGCCCAGGGTCTCATCCCCAGCGTCGCGGCAACCCAGCATGTAATTCCAGACTTCAAAGTGGAGGTAGGAGGCGAGGACTGAGATACACATAGAAATGTCCTATGGATGCAGAGGATGTTGTAGGGAGAGGAGAGAAGGAAGGAAAGAAATGGAGGAAGGAGTGGAGGGAGGGAGGGAGGAGAGGGAAGGAAGGAAGGAAAGAGGGGGAAAGGAGAGAAGAAACGTGGGGGAGAAAAGAAGAAAAGGATGGAAGGAAGCAGGAAGAGAAGAAGGGGCAGCGTAGTCCCAGCATCTGGGGCTGTTGAGGGAAGTGAAAACTTTGAAAGGTGAGGCTGGCTGACGTCACTGGGGGTGTGCCCTTGATGGGAACTGGGGACCTGAGTCTCTGTCTCTCACTCCCCTGAACTCAGCTGTGGATGAGGAGATTGTTGCTATTACTCCAGCCTACCTGCTGAGATCCAGGCCAGTGAGATTCTGCCTCAAAAAACAAGGGCTGTTACCCAAAGATAGTACACGCACACACACACACACACACACACACACACACACACACACACACACCTATGCTGAAAAGCATTGCATTCATGCTGCCACTTGCATTCCCCAAGTCACCTCCCATGACTGGGATGATGGTGGATGGAACTGGGAGGAGCAAAAGCCAAGAAACTGTCTCATAACCTAGCAAGAGGCAATGAGGTCTTGGTGTAAGACTGCAGGGGAGAGATGGGTGGTCAACTGCATGAACAAAGAAGTCCGAGCCTTGCTGATGGAATCTAGACAGAAGCCGAGGAAGAAGGTGGAAGAGGCTGAGTCAGAGTTAGCTCTTAGCTCTTCACACGAGGGACGGGCTGAATAAACACTAGAAGGAACTCATTTGGAGAAGAATCAACTTTGAGAGCCGCACGCATGACTCAGGCTAACCACGGGATACACTGAACCACTGAAGGGAGACTTCATATCTGCTGTGGGCAGTGTTGGCATTCAGAGGTGAGAGTAGAGGGGGGAGGAACAGGAAGGAGGAATAGAAAAGGGAGAGGGGGAGAGGACAGGAGGGCGAAGAGAGGAGAGGAGGGAGAGGAGAGGAGGGAGAGGAGGCCCAGGTGATGTTGGATTTTTTCCTCCATTGCTTTCTAATTATTTACTATGGCAGACACTTTTGTTAGGGAAGGAACGTGTACCCCACAGTGGATGACCAGGGATAGATAAGGCTCAGCCCACAGGGCCTCTGTGACCCAAACAGCCATTCCATTCCCAGCTCCTGAGCCCACAATGAGGGAAGATTGGGGGGCGGGTTGTTCTGGTCTCATCCTTTGAAGATGCTCACAGCTCTCCTCAGGGCCCAGTGAGGAGACACCCTCCAGGCCCATTAGCCAGATCACAGCAACACATTTGAGTCAAGAGGGTCAGCAAGTTCCAGGAAGCCCTTGCCTGGTCTCTCAGAGGCAGTGACTAAGGCCCTAATTATCTCTCCTGATGGGGATTCAGAGAGTAGAGAACCCGTTTCTGTCCCTGGATCTGCTCCCTCCTGGGGCCAAGTGGCCCATAGTCCTCTCAACTGGAACCGAGCTGTCTGATGCCAAGGTGATTTATGCCGGTACCCTGCACTGGGCAGCCTCATTCCTACCCATGCAGGCCAGAGAACCAGCCAGGCTCCTCAGTAGTTCATTGCCTGCTGATGCTTTCCTGGTCCTCTGTTTTGAGGGGGGCACTGCCTCATTACATGCCCCAGCAGCAGCCGGCTGTCTGGCGCCCACCATGTACATGACAGAGCATCCGTACGTCAGCAGCAGAGCCAATGAGCAGGTGACCCACGCACCTCGTCCCCTGCCTTCCAGCTAATACATCTTCATACACACCTTGCCTCTCCCAAGCCTCCTATGTCCTAGGGATAAATGACACAT